AAAAGAGAAGGAGGCCTAGTTTCACGAGTGAATAACAATTAAAAGAAGCTACGAAGGACCTATGCTTTTGTTTGGTCATCCGTCCCCATTGCTCCGTTTTAGGACTTCAGCTCCAGACTCGGGCCCACGATTTCTTTCGCCATTACGCATGTCACCGTACAGGATCTTGAGATACTTCAGAGAGTTCTACAGTATGCTTAACTCACAGTTTGTTCGAAGTCTATTAGCCTTGTGGTTAGAAACATCCCGCTGTCGTCTGTATTCCTGCTGGTGTTCGGGACGCCCTGTGAACTGAACGCATCTCCGTATCTTATTCCTTCTATGGAGCCTCTTTAAGAAGTTGAAGGTTGATAGGGCACGCCGATGTTGATGCGAAGCTAACCGCTTTAAAAGTTCGTAAACTAGCGGAAACTTGACTAAACTCAGGTTGTGTAATGTGCGTTCGGAAAATTAGTTTATCCTTTATGACATGCATTGCGTACTCGTGCAGACGCTTGTCCTCGTGGTATTTAGTAATCGCGTCAGTCCGTCGATCGGTCGGCGAGCTTTCTACCAATCGATTCGGGCATTTTAAAGACAAAACAGTCTGGTTTCTAGCCAGATATTACCAACCCGATTTGGATCATAGCGAAGTAATTGCTCTAGGGAGCTGCCCATTGCTCATGAACGTCACTCCTCAACGTGCTCAGTACTACTGTTCACACAGCAGGTGTCGTTTAGCTACTTACTACAGGATCGCTGATTTTCGGATTTAAAATTTATTTCTTTTACTGTAGCATTAAGTTCAAAGTTAACGCATTAGTCTTTCTTTATAAAAAAGATTTTTCAGTATTACTGACAAAATATGGCGCAAAACTCATTGACAATTGGTCAGAACTTTCCCGTAAATTCAAGGAAGACTTATGCGAAAATTTAAGCCAATGGTTATACTTGTATGATTTTAGGTACAGACTTCCACATTCATCTAAATATCATTGTTTCGTGAGCTGGATTTCCGTCCTGTTAAACGAACCCTGCTTTTAAATATAGCCCTGTAATGTATGATCTGTCCAACGCTTGCGACCCATCCTGACCGGTCAACTGAGCAACCTGGGGTTAAGCATTACCTGAGAGGACCCCTACTCAGAACTTAAGATCTGAAGGACGTTTTGCTACCTGTTGCGTATACATGAATTTCAGGATAATAAGTTCTTTGAGAAAAATAAAAACTTTATTGGTGAATTTTTTGACGTCGGTTTTCCGGCTCGTTTTCATGCTTCAGTAAACACACAACAACAATTAACATTTCAAACACGCTCAAAAGTCAGTACTTCTTCGGCGTTTATTTCGGTAAGCGCCCGCCGCGTACACTATTGTGTTTCGGTTGGTCCCCGTGTCTTCCGTATTTCGTTGAGATTTGGCCCAAGGACTAATACAACAGGACGACTGAAGTATGACACATCTGCATGCGCGACTTCAGGAAATTCCCTAACATTTTGGTAGGGCAGACGTTGACGATACGAGTCTTGTTACGTGCAAAAATTTGCCCAGTATCTAATACATGCACAGCCCTTTGAGATAGGTGGTCCTGCCTCTTAAAAGATAATTGATGTCCGCGGATGTGTGTGGAGGGAGACTTCCCCGTTTGACCACAATATACGGCATCGAATGTTTCGCAAAGAAACTTGTGAACGACCTACCCGGTTCATATCCCCTAAGCCGCATATGTTTTTATGCCTTGTGCCTTACCACAGCGTTACCCTCTTAGTCAAGTAGTTTTTTGTCCAATTTCGTACTTTTTGTTTTGGCGAGCTGTTCTGCCTTACCCATGGTATTCTTTTTGCATTTCCACGAAGTTCTTCTATACAAGACTTTGGTCTTTCCTCGAATACCATTTCAGAAGATTGCCATATTGCCTAGGGGTCGACGAGTCCATGTTCGAGTATACGGACCCGGAATTAAAAATCTTAAGTCATTACCCGACTCGATTGTTTGTTTCACTCACGTCTTCGAAGCGCGCTTTCTGACAGTATTAGCACGCCCTCTCTACAATGGCCAAGAGCAAGAACCACAGCTCTCACCACCAGAGTAACTATCTCTTTTGTCATATATTTCTTCTCAGATCGAAAGCAGCACAGAAACGGTATATACCGGCCCAAAAAGCAGCGATACCCCTCTTTGAGTGGCGTAAGTTGCTTGTTAGTATAATAATTCTCTGACCACTAAATAGGTTGATCCGAAATTCTTGAGGAATATGCGGTTCGCAAAGAAGCATAACAAACGTTCAAAGAAAGTGTAATTGATAAATAAACTTATGGTCTAAATTCCGTGTTTGCTGCACTAGAATAACTCGTCCTCGACCAGGCTCACCTGTTCGTCCTTTGCCAGTTGACACGATACTGCCACTTCCTTGCTACTCATAGTCCTTTTATAGGATTGCGACTTTAGTTGTTCTGCTTCTACATCCGGCCCGATATGAGTCCTAATTCTGTTCGCATCGTACTTTTCGTTGTCTCAACAGGCCATACTACGCTTCCGACCCGAGTTCATTGGACTGAATGCTAATATCAGGGTGTTTGACGCGTCGCCACTGCCGTCACTTATGCCCCGATTCTTGCTCGTGCTGGCATAGTAAGCTGGATTGGTGAGTTACAATATTTAAAGCTGAATTGGCTGGCTCGGACGCATCGCGACCGGTGTTTCATTCGCGCATTAGATGCGTAGTTCGTAAGCTGTTGTCTCCTTCTGAGGCGCCCGACTTACCACAGACAAGAACCTTGTCTGCCATCACTATTTTGGGTGATGGTCGCCCTTCCTTTGCTAATCGAAGCCCAGGTAGCTTTCAACTACAGAGGGACACTGTCTGTACGGGCCGTTTTGTGGCTGCCTCTGGCCTCTGTGCTCCACCTCGAACTGTTTGTGCATTATACTGAGTCGATGCCCCGGTCAAGCCCATTCACAGATCAGGACGTATACTTCGTTTTTGAATCACCATTGGAGAGCTCGTGATCGGCGACAGTCCTCGGCCACCACCGTAGGTCCGGAGACGAGCGAACAGATGCTGGCATTTGCAACTCGTTTAGCGCACGTTACGTGTCCGACAACTATTATCCCCCTCGTTACCGTCTTGCCCCCTGTATCAGTCTTTCGTGGCTCTTTGTCCTGTCTAACTCAGTATTGCGGCTGCTTGAGTTGCTAGTGTGTCATCAAAGAACGGTATGGCAAGACCCATTAAATCATTTTGACGGCTGAGATTCGAAAGAATCGGGAGAGCGACGGGGAGTAGGGTCGATTACCCGCCGTCTTCGTAAGTTTGGTTTTTGAATTTGCCTCTGGGCATCTTTTGTCGGAAGTCTGGAAACACGTCACAGCTACGCAACGGGCTATGCTCGACGTCCTAATAGGTACATCAGGTCCAAAGGTGTTTCCGAACAAAAATTCTAAGGGGAGGGACAGTTCTGTGTGTGGGATGGCGTTTATTATATCACCCTGGATCTGTTGCCTAGTTTTTTAACCCGAGGGCCAGGGTCTGGTGGCCCATGTACCACTACGACAATCCGATACTGTAAGCGCCAGGACTGGACGTTCGCATGTTTGGGCAACGATTTTGCACAGCCAGGAAGAGTACGCGAAAATATTTTGTAGAATATGTGCTAGTCACTAGCCTGAGTTTTTTTTTTTACCAAAACCGCTGGTGCTTACCATTGTTATAAGTTTGAGAGGACGCCCTGTTGGACGGCAAGCCTACAAACAGGAGACTGAATTGAGAAGGTACAGGCTTTGCTGTCAGACAGACGGGCGAAGTTATTATTGCGTCTTCCGTATTTCACACTTTCGGTGGAAATTGTAGTGACTCAAGGATGACTTATGGTCTTACGAACGGACATTCTTAAATATCTCAGAAAGTTTTGAGATGTATCAGGCCGTCTGCTTCGAGAGGTAGAGCTGTGTCGGCGACAGGGTCTGGCGGTTTATGGTTCACTGCTACGTCGTTGGCTCTTTCGTAATAATACCAGTAGATCAGATGCTAGTCTTTACACGAGCCGCTGCGTCCGTTCCCGACCTGGGCGTGCCGTCCATCTTTGAATGGTTTGCTGATGTCTGCTAATTTTCGGTGTGACAGTTTGAGAACAGTTGGCGAGAGTAATGCACACGGGTACATCGCGGAAACCAACAGCTGTGTCCTGGTAAAGGCTCTCGGATTACGTTTCCTTTCCTGCCCTGGGCTTTGGACTTCCACTAGACTTTCCATTACTGGACACGTCAGCCGGCTAAGGTGAGGTCTGCCATCGTGGAATTGGTTAGTGAGGAAGTAGTTAATGAATCACAACGATTCCAACCCTCTACCTGTATCAGTAATGCCTGCTTATTAGCAAGGGGCAGGATCTCGCGACCCCGCAATTCAAATTGCTTTTTAGCGTCGAAGTCGATTTGGTCCACAACCATCAGCTCTGAGTGATGACACTATCCGGCATTCGGTGGGGCCTTTTCCGTCCGGGTTTGGTGGAGGTCCTTTTATGCTGAAATCCCGTATCTTGAACCGAAATTGCCTCTTCCCCAACGGGAAGCGGGACCACCCCGACCGCGGCACGACTTTATCATGTGCCGTCAACCCCGTGCAGAATTAAGTTCTCCCCATGGTTGACCGGGTTTGGCCCCCATATAGCTACACGGCTGGCGTCCGTTTTACGAAGGCAATCCAGACCAGCTGGGTACCGTTTTCTGTTGAAGTATAGGCCTGCCTTACCTGCCAGTGTGCTATTACCCATCAGAACACTGGAAGTCTTATGCCGTAGTTCTACTTTCTAACGCCCTAGCGGCTACCAAGTCCGCTGTAATGGTCAACCGTAAACCGAAACTTACATGTAGTCTGACCACGGGCGTTTGTGGAACGCGACAGGCACAGTTAGTTAGGAATGACAGGTCGGCCATCTCGAATGACGATGTACACCCTGTGCCTCATCGTGGTAGGCTCAGGACTGTGCCTTGCAAGGGAATTAGTGTATAGTGTTTGCAGACTTACAGAGCCCGTGTCCCACTCTACTCATTTGCCCAAATGAGACCGGTTGCAAAAATAGGACGACTAGAGGCGAGTTCGGGCGCAGTGGCAGGCAGGGCTAAGCATCTCGTCTACGCGTGCCACACACGACCCGATCTCTCCGTGCATTGTATGGGGTTTTAACGAAATGGGGGACGGCTCGTGCGTGCGTGTCGTGGGTACCATGCTAAGAAGGGGCCATTGCGCCTGACTGTTTCCGCGCCTGTCACCCTAAATCACACAGAACTGATCAAGCGGGTCGAGTTATCCCGCCAGTTAACAACCCTCGAAGCTACAACCTTAAGCACATCAGGTTTATGAGCGGCCTGGTCTTGTCTGCACAGCATTCACCACAACCCAAGCTGAGCTAATTATCACACACAGACACTTTTTTCAGCCACAGCCGCCTTTTTCGCTCACATGTAACCACTCAAAGGAGAAGGCAGGATAGGAGATTCAGTGGCGGTTCGGAATGTACGAATGAGTTGGGTGCCTGCCCTCGTGCGTTATCGTTGTAGGCGTGCGCCTCCTACAGTGTCGTGGGTGCTTTCGAGTGTTTACTTCGAGCATAGGTGCGGAAAGATTATCGGCTTCTAATTCTAATTCTTCTCATTGGCCAGCAGGTCTATTTATGTAAGGATTACGAGGTCTGGTGCAGGAAATGTAGGGCATGCGGCTCATATAAATCTCGGCCGAGTTGGTAGCACCCATCATACTTTCCGTCAGTCCTCTCACACTACGAGTAGTAAATGGTGGCTCCGTTGTATGCGTGTCCTGATCGCCAAATTTACATAGTTTCTGACCATATGGCAGTGTAAAATTTTCTCGTGCCAGTATTGTAACACGCCTGCTTACTGAAGACGCAACCTTCGTGGTGACAGCTGTCTGCCTACGCCAGCGTCCCGCAACGCTCGCTTCCGCGACTCTGTTGTAGAGGACGGAGCGATCGCGTAATAGCTTGTCCTCTGAGCCGTTGAAGCGAAAGGGAGTTATTGACCACGGATTAGTATCTTCGAAGGGGCGTTACCATACCAAGACGAGGAGTTTTCTTGGTAGGACAGCCATTAATTCCGGCAGTGGCTGCCGTAGGTACTTTAGCCTGACCCGGTAGTTAGGTTCGTATTGTTGCGTTCGCTGTCTCGGTATGTTTATTTGCTTTTAAAGAAGCGAGGTTAATAATTTGTGGAAGGGACCTCCAGAAGTCTTTCACTACAACCGACGGTTGTCAGTGCCTTAAAAACTAGGAGGATGGACCTTCTGACTCCGTAACTTTTAGAGAATCTACTAATTTCTCAATTAAGTCTGGGATGTCAACGAAGAAGGTGTGCTCAAAGCCGCCTCATAGACTATGCGTCATCGTAACTCAAGAGTTGAGGGGAGGGGGAGAGTTCTAGCTTTCGACCAAGAAGCCGCTGGGTCACCTGACTAGTTTTGCTGCTAGAAAATCACAGCATATTATTTTCCGCCAGGAGTCACTGATAGCTGCCTCACCCTTGTAGAAGTTTTGCAGAACAAGTCGCCCTGGCCTTCTTAACTTGTAGAGAACCTACCAATTTTCCAATCAAGCCTGGGGTGCCAGCGAAGAAAAAAGCGTGCTCAGAGCCTTCTTGTGGACTATGCGTCATCGTAACTCGAGAGTTGAGGGGAGGGGAAAAGTGGTGATTTTCGACCAAGAAACTGCTGGGTCGCCTGATTGGTTTTGCTGCTAGAAAATTATAGCATAAAATTTTCCCCCAGGGGGTCGCCGATAAATGCTCCAAGTTTATGGAAGTTTTGCGGGACAAGTTGGTTCTGGCCTTTTTCACTTTTTAAGAAGGGAAATAATTGGGTTTACAGGAGATCGGAGTTTAGGAACCTTTCGAGATCTTTGCTCTCATACGCTCGCAGTCTCGAGTTCGCACATTTCTGCCTTTGCTCATCGATTGTGCTGTTTTTATGCCAACTCGCCCCCAACAAAATTTAGAAACTACGGGCACGTGTAAAAAATGCAAGTCACGCTTCAAGGATGCGGTGGGTTTGTAGCGGCTAAGCGGTGATGGTGTACGCTCAGTACGCCACAACTTCAGGCCATATCCCAAGTTGTTAGAAACAGGACGCCAGTTGGAGAGAAGATTTTATTTATTCTGTACAGAATAGTGAAGGGAAGTTGGCAAACGGACGAGGGTGCGTCCGGCGCCGCGGAGACGGCGTCCGCGAGAGCGACGAGCCGTGTCGCCGAAGGTCGCCGCTGCAAAAGTGTCGTGGCATTTTGTTTACGCTAGTGTTCTGGACTGTTCCCGCCTGTCTTACCAATCAGCGATAGGAGTTGCGTTGACTGGCTCCGAGCCCACGCGAAGGTAGTGACAAGCCTCGCGTGGTGCAGGCAGAGGATCGACCGAATGCGTG